AAGTCCTCTTACCTCTGCCCTTGCCCCAACCCTACACGCCCACCTCATCTATTCTCAGCACAGCAGCTACAGCAGCTAGAAGAATCCGTCTAAAAATCCAAGCTAGGGCTCGTAACTCTTTGCTCAAAGTCTTCAAAGGCCCTCATTTCACTCAACCTAAAAGCCAAGGTCCCAGCAATGACTGCAGGGCTCTGCATGATCTGGCTCCACTAACACTCGGACCTCATCTCTACTCTCCTCCTTGCTCTGCCCCAGGTGCACGAACCTCCTTGCTGCATCTCAAGCCTGACAGACATGACCGTGCCTTAGGACCTTTGTTGTACTTGTTCTCTCTGCCAGGAATATTCTTCCACCAGATATCTACCTTCCCAACTCCTCACCTCCTTCAAGTCTGCTCAAATCTCACCAGACCTTCCCCAGCCACCCTTTCACTGCAGTTGAACCTTCCCACCTTCTCGATCCTGAGCTCCTTTACTGTGGTCTACTTTTTCTTTTCTTTTTAAACTGTATAACACCAACATTCTTCAAGTATATAATTCACTGTTGTATTGGTAATTTGGTGGCCTAGAATGATACCCGTGTAACATCAATTGTCATTAAGGAAATGCAAATCAAAACCATGATGTGATTCTACTTTATACCCACCCGCATAGTTCTAATAAAAAGGACAGATGTAACAAGGGTTGGTGTGGATGTATCCCCACTGTACACTTCTGGTGGGAGTTTAAACCAGTGAAGTCACTTTAGAAAACTGTCTGACCGGTCCTTAAAAAGTTGGACATAAAGTTACAATATGCCCCAGCAATTCCACTCCTGGGTATATACTCAAGGGAATTGAAAACGTGACTACTCAAAAACTTCTCACAATATTCATAGCAGCTTTATGCATAATAGCTAAAACGTAGAAACAGCCCAATGTCTGTTAACTGATGAATGGAGAAATATAATGTAGTATGCGCATACAATGGAATATTATTCAATCATAAAAAGAAATGAAGTGCTGATCCATATTACAACTTGGATGAACCTTGAAAACATGCTCAGCAAAAGAATTCAGACACCAAAAGCCATATATTGTACGATGCCATTTATGTGAAATATCCAGAATAGGCATATTCATAGAAACAGAAAGTAGATAAGTGATTGCTGGGGCTGGGGGGAATGAATTGTCCACTTTTTAAAATGCCTGTTTATTAGCTCACAGTTCTGTAGATCAGAAGTCTGGAAGGGGCTTGGCTGAGTTCTAATTTCAAGGTCACACAAGACTGAAATTGAGATGTCGGGGTGGGTGGGCATGAGGCATATTGCAAGAATCTGCTTCTAAACTCATTCACTTTGTGGGCAGCTTACTGTCCTTGTGGTCATATGGCTGAGGTCCCTATTCCTCACTGGCTGGCTATCTCTCAGCACTTTAAGGCTACTTGCAATCTTTCTCATATGGCCCTCTCTTTTTCAAACCAGCAGCAGCAGCACGTTGAATCTTTCTTATGCTCCAAATCTTTCTGACTTCCCCTTCTGCAACCAGCCTAAGAGAGTTCTTTGTTGTTGGTGACTCAGGAGATTAGATTAGACTCCCTCAGATCGTCTCCCCTCTGTAAGGTCAACTGTACCGTACAACATAGAACAGTCAGGGGAGTATCATATTTACTGGTTCCAGTGAGTGTGGAGTCTTGGGAGCCATTCCTAGAAATTCTGCCACTACAGCATCTGAGAATTATTTTGGGTAGACTTGCTGACAATTTGATCTCCTGGAAGGAGCAAGCATTCCCAAGCACCTGTTCCATCCACATGCTGGAGGTTCCATGAGTTACTCCTTTGTCTTCCTGGTCTCCAGGCCAGTGCTAGCACATAATGCATGCTTCAGTAAGTGCTCATTGAATGTTTGCTAAATTGTTCCTACCCTGTGAGGTTTCATTCATTGTTTACCAGGAAGGCAGACCTATACAAAAACCGGGAAGTTCAGGAGGCTAAGAGCCATAAGAGAGAAGGTGAGCACACATGGTGTGAACACATGGGAGGATGTGACGTGGGGAATGGTTTCTTCTGACCAGTTAGATAAAGGCAGGTGATAGGACCCCTGAAAGAAAGTAACCAAGTCATTTTTGAGTTTGTGCTCACCATAGGGGTTATCCACACGAGATATATGCCAATCATGTCCCCATTTTTGGAAGGCAAATCTCAAAAAGTATGGAGAGGAGGTAAACAGGCTCCTATGAGCAAATGTGTTATTCAAGGATATAATAAGCTTAAAATTTAAATGCAAATGATTCCCAGAAAGAAAAGTATAGGATAAGCCAAGGGTGGGGGGGATAGTAGCCCAGGAGAACAATATAGAATTATATAAACTCTGCAGCATGTCCTCTGATGCTCACCTTCATTCTTTCAGCAAATATCTACTGAGTACTAACCATCTACTGGAGGCCCTGTCCTAGGCACAAGAGTACAGGAAGAAGCCAGGTGGGAAATGCAGTAGGCAGCCTCTACAATGGTTCCCAGTGATCTCTGCCTCCTGACATACTGTAATCACTTCCTCTGAGTGTAAGTATCAGCAGTAGTGGGTTGTCACTTCCACAGTTAGGTTATAAATAGGTGTGGCTTTGTTTAGGGTGCGTGTTCTCAGTTCACTTGCTCTAAGAGAAGCCAGTTGCCATGTGGGGAGTTGCCTCATGGAGAAGTCCATATGGCAACGAGCTGATGTCTCCAGCCAAGAGCCATGTGAATGAGCTGGACATGCATCCTCCCCTGGTCAAACCTTGAGATGACTGCAGCCCCAGCAACACTCACTGCAGCCTTGTGAGGGACTTGAGCCAGACTGAAGCTAAATTGCTCCTGGACTACTGACCCAGAGAAACTGTGCAACTACAAACCTTTATTGTTTTAAGCTTCTAAATTTAAGAAGTAATAGATAACTAACATAGGAAAGATTATAAAAGAGATTATAATACTCTCTAATAGTTACAATAAAGAACATATAGAGACTATACCCCCAAATCAGAGACAGAACAAACACCTGAAGCTGAACCAAAGAAAGAGATGGCTTCAGAAAAGGGAGCAGGAAGGGAGAGGACCCCAGTGGAGTGAGACTTAGGGAAATACTAAAGGCAGTAAAAAAGGATTTCTTGAGTTTTGTTCAGGGCAAGAAACAGAACAAAGAAGGCTTTTTTTGGTGGGCTGAGGGTGGCAGAGAAGCAAAACTTTCCAGCTTCATCTGCAGCTACTGTCTTCAGAGGGTCCATGAGTCTCAAGCTGCTGCATTCATTTCTCAAATATAGCCAAGAATGGAATTAGGTTTGGTTGGAGTAGACTGAAGGAGGCGTAGGGGGAGATTGTCCTAGAGCTCAGAGTTCTGCCAGGTACATTCTTCTTTTTAGGCCCGAAATATCCCACTCTGAGTACTGGGAGCACATGAGGTGAAATGAAAGTTGCAGATGGCCTTTGAGATCTGGGGCATGGGGGAGGCAGATGTTGCCTTCATTTCCAGAAAGAATAAGGTGGATCCCAAGACACACAGACCAGGATGCTGATGTTGATCTGGGGAAAGGGCCTAGAACAGATTCCAAAGGGATAATGTGTGAGCTCCAGGACCCAGCCCAGAGCTCTCTAAACAACTCAGATCTACCTTTACCTGTTGTCTTGGTTTTTTTAAACAACAAAGAATGAACAATCATTATCAAGATAAAGGTAAGGCTGTGAAAATAGCATGTCCTGATTTCATCTGGGCCACTGACACAGCCTTCATAAATGGAAGAACAATACGATCAGAATGGTTTGTTACCATTTGAATAGTTATAACCAGAGATGACTGACTAAAGGAACATTATCAAGGTGTTCCCAGGAGACCCTCAGCCCCTCCTGGATACTACTACTAACAGTGAACATGTATTGTGAATTTACACAGTACTGATAACTGTTCTAAGCCCTTTCCATGGATCTTCTCATTTGATTCTCAAAATCCTATGAGATATAATCAGCTCCATTTGACAGATCAGGAACATTAGGTGCAAGAGGGTTAAGTAACTTGACAAGGCTACACATTAGAATATCAACAGAGCCAGGACAGGCATCCGGTGATCCAGACTTAATGCCTTTGCTTTATCCATGTGGCCTTATTGCCACAGAGATGGCAATACCAATATTCTCTACCTGGAGAGAAGCAACTTGGCTCAGCTTGCATGAGTATGAAGCAGGCTCAGATGTGGGGTGCGCATGCATGCAGCCCTATGTTAGCGTGTGACTGTGTGTATAGTGTGAATGTGCGTATGCATGATATGTGTGTACTGTGTGCTCTGAGCCAGCATGTTGCTGGGAAAAGCTGAAGGGAGAGGGGTGGGGCACTGTGCACAGTGCCCAGGGTGCTGGGAAGCAGCAAGAAGTTGGTCAGTGGGTCAGGCAGCCGGTCACCCGAGCAAAGAGGGTGACAGGTGGGCAGGGCTGTCGGGGGTGACCAGCCGGCTCCCACCTGCTAGGGCTGTCCATCAGCACTAATGCTGGCAGTGCCCGAGGCCAGGACCCCCAGCAGGCCAGCCTCAGAGACGCACACTTCTGGGAGACATGCATCCCAAGGTGGCAGAGACCCAAGTCCTGGCCCAGACCTAAGCAACCAGGTTCCACCCTGTACCCTCTTACCCACCCTACGCCAGAGGCTAAAAGCTGCCTTGGCTAGCTCAGAACCTGAGAGCTAAGGGATGGGAAGGGTTCCAGTGGGGACACATGGCCAGTGGCTGTCCTTCCATATTCATCTATCTGTACTATTCAGATGAATGGAAGTACATGACTTTGATAGTATTTTGGGATAGGAAAGGCAAGAGGGTCCTCAGAGGTCATCTAAATCACACCTCTTTATTTTTCAGATAAGTAAAACTGAGGTTCAAAGAGGCCCTGGGACCACCTGCAAAGATCCTGGGATTCATCAGAGGTCTGGTAAGAGCTAGAAGATTCAAGGGAGTCTTGCCGGGGTATGTCAGCAGGTGGAGGCTGTGAATAAGTGTGGCGGGGGGAGGAGATGAACGCTGGGGCTCCACAAATCCAGGTAGGGAGGGGGCCAAGGTCTGGCCTGCTGAGCAGGGCACAACCGGCAAATGAGAGGCATGGAGAGTGAGGGAGCTGAAGCCCAAGTCATGATCCAGTGGAGGGGCAGGCACGGAGCTGGCAGGCGGTGGCGCCAGCGCAGGGCTGGGCGCCGCGGGTCCAGCGTTGGAGAGACTGGGATGGGGCTGGTGACTCCGGCCCGCCTGAGGACAGAGATGGAGGCCGGTGGGCAAAGCGGGGAGGATCTGGGGCGGGGCCGTGGGGGTGCTGGGGAGATACGGGGGTGCCGGGGAGAGACGGGGGTGCCAGCACCAGGTCATTGGGAGGGGAGGGACTGGAGAGCGCTGGGCAGGGCGGGGAGATGGGAGCCGCGCTGGAGCGTGGGGAGGGGCCCGGCGGTGGGCGCGCGGCCGCCGGGAGAGGCCGGGGCCAGGCCGGGGCTGCGGTGAGGGGAGGCGCGTGGCCGGCCGCCCCCAGCTGTGGCGTCGTTCAGGCCCGGCTTAGCGGGGCCGGGGCCAGGGATTAGGGGCAGTGGCCGCACCTGGCGGGGCGGCCGCAGGGCTAATGCTGTGTGACCGCGGCGGCCCCGCCCGACAACTGGCTTCCTCCCGCCCCGGAGGGCTGTGGGCTCGTTAGCCCCGCCGGCGTGTGCGCGGGGTGCGGCTGCGGGCGGCGAGTGCATGTGTGCCACGGGGGGCCCTGAGGCTGGCGCTGACGGCCACCGGCTGCGCCCGGCACCAGGGGGTCCCAGAAGTGAGGCTGCCCCAGGGGCCGCGGGGAGGGACAAGACACTCGAGTGCGTGCCGCCGTGAGCTCTTGTCACTGTGTGATGGTGTGGTCCCGGAGTCCGACTGGGGGTGCCTCTCTGATATGACAATCCCTGTTCTCACCCTACGTGGACCGTGTGTCACTGTCCAGGACCTTAGCCCATATTCGGAGTATCCCTGTAACCAGACTGTCTATGGGACACGTCCATATTCTGAATGTGTTTAGCAGTATGGGGAAGAGCTTCCACCTTCCTTGGGACCTGCTGCTCAAATTTCTTCTGCAGATACACCTTTGGCTAGCTCAGACCCTGACAGCTATGGGATGGGAAGGGTTCCAGTGCGGACGCATGGCCAGTGAATGTCCTTCCATATTCACCTGTCTGTAATATTCAGATGAATGGAAGTACCTGACCTTGCTAGTGTTTGGGGATAGGAAAGGCAAGAGGGCCCTCAGAGGTCATCTAAATCACATCTCTTTTTTTTTCAGATAAGTAAACCGAGGTTCAAAGAGGCCCTGGAACCACCTGCAACGATCCTGGGATTCATCAGGGGTCTAGTAAGACCGCAAGCTCCTTCCCAGCCGGAGTGTCTCAGCTGTCCATCCCACAGGGCCCCGGGCCTCTGGTGCTGAGATGGAGACCATGCAAAAGTTCTGGCACCTGGATTCCTGCCCTCCTCAAACTCAGGCCTGCCCCACTAAGCCCCTCTTCATCCAAGACCTACCTAAGGGCCACCAGCCATGCTCTAACATGCCCTCTTTCCTACCAAAATAATTGCATCTGAACAAAACTTGTGTTAGAACTGAGAGGTTTTATCGAACCTCGTAGGTGAGCCTCCAGGCCTTTGCACCTGCTGTTCCTCTGCCTGAAAGGACACTCACTTCCCTTTTCCTAGAGCCGAGGAGCCACCTCCACTGGGATGCCTTCCCTGCTGCAACCCACTCCACACCACCCTTGCTTTTCCTTGCAGAACCTTGGATCACACCTGACTCTGGCTATTCCGATGTCATCTCCATCTCCTGGAGACAGTTGCTGCATGAGAACAAAGGCAGGGCCCAGACCAGGTCTGGAGGGATAAGTGACAGGGATATGGGCACTGAGCTGAGGCACTGGGCAGGCAGAGCCACTGCCCTTACCCCTACCATGAACCCCTAGAGAGAGGCTGCTAGAACCTTCATTTCTAAGGAGCAGGAGAGTGTGGCTACCCTGCCTCTAATTATTCCTCCATAGGCACACAGGCCTTCTCTCCACCCAGGGAGCACACATCTGCCAAGAGCAGCCCTGCCCCCACACCAGGCTCTCCAGCAGTGAGGAGCTGGGCTGGGCTGTCCTCACCCGCCCTCCTGGTTCTTCCCTGGCCCTGCCTGGGGATGCCAGGACCCACAGCAGGTGCCTGGAAAGGCTTGGGGATGAAGAGGGGCCTGGGCACAAAAGGCCACCCTCTGGCCAAGAGCAGAACTTAAAACAAATTCCAGAATCCTCTTCGTCCTCCTTTTCCCCGCCCACTCTTTAGTTCTGTTAATAATAACAGCTACCATTTACCAGGCACCTAATGTCTTTCTTTGCACAGTATTTGATACTGTATGTGCATTGTTTGTTTAATCCTAAATCAATCCTGACGCATAGGTATTACCCTCCTCATCTTTCTGATGAGGAAATAGAAATTCAGAGAGGCTATATCCCTTGTCCAAAGTCAGTGTTGGACTGGTCAGTGGCAGAGCCAAGATTCACACCCCACATCTTTCCATGCCCTTGTCCTCCAATGCTGACCCCAGGTGCTGCTCTCCTCGCCCTAGGTGGTGACTCTCTGCTATACGTCTGCCTCCCACATTAGCTTGAGAGCTGTGGGATAGCAAGGGCTGTCCCGTCCTCTCAGTGGCCCCAGTGAAGGAATGAAGGAATGCTTGTAGAATATTACCTTGGCTGTTAGAGGGCACAGCATGGTAGTTACACACATGGGCTCAGAAGCCCAAGTGCTGGGGTTCAAATCTCAGCTCTTACTTCCTTTATGACCTTGAGACACTAGTATTTCTGTCTCAATTTTCTCATCTGTAAAATGGACATGATAGTGAATGCTGGTATTGAGGAGACTGAGTTAGGAAAAGTTCCTGTCCTATAGTAAGTACTGCCTGTGTTAGATAAGATGCAGTGTCTCCCTCCAGACTAGATGGGGGCCCGGTCCCACTCTCTGCTTGCATCCCCAGCACTTAGCACAGGGTTTGCCTGGAGTAGGTCCTTCCCTTCCTCATCTATAAAATATTACTAAAAATACCCACCTGGCAAGATTAAGGAGATGTATATAAACTGCCTGGCACAGGGCAGAAGTTGGCATCAGTAGTAGCACCAGTGGAGGGTGGGCTATTGGTAGGATAATGGGGAGGGAGGGGGAGGGAGGGGTAGAGCCAGGTTAGGCTCTTCTGAATGCCCCATTTTTGGATCCAGAGGCAGAGTCTTCACCCAGTGTCCTCCTCTTGCCCATGTACCATTCAGGCCCTGGTACAGAGGACACATAGGACCTTACTCAGATGGTGGCCTCTCCACCATGTGGAGAAACCCCCATGCCAGAGGGTACCCTGGGTCTAAAGTGCCTCCTCTTCGCCTCTTCTAGACCTTTCCCCAAGGGACTGGCAGCTTTGTGTTTTGAGAATGGAGCCAGCTGGACAGGGAGGCACCCAGGAGATCATCCCAAGCCAAACTTATTTAGGAGTGGAATTCTGTCTTCAGATAAATTCTTAGGTGAAACCCTGATATGTAAAGCAGACAGAGGCATTATTTTGTGCCATAAATTAATGTATAAGTTCATGTAGATAACTGTTATTTCTTTATTTATTTATTTTTTTTTTTTTGAGACTGAGTCTTGCTCTGTCACTCAGGCTGGAGTGTGGTGGTATGATCTTGGCTCACTGCAGCGTCCGCCTCCTGGGTTCAAGCAATTCCTCTGCCTCAGCCTCCAGAGTAGCTGGGATTACAGGTGCACGCCACCACACCCAGCTAATTTTTGTATTATTACTAGAGACGGGGTTTTACCATGTTAGCCAGGCTGGTCTCAAACTCCTGACTTCAGGTGATCTGCCCACCTCAGCCTCCCAAAATATTGGGATTACAAGTGTGAACCACTGTGCCCAGTCATAATAGCTGTTATTTCTTATAATACAAAAGAGCCTGGCACATAGCAGGCATTCAAGAAATAATTGTTGAATGAATGGATAGTCCATCATTGGAGGAAAAAAAACGAGGCTATCTCGATGAATACAAATCTGTGAAATAGGGGGTAATTATGTATGATGGTTGGTGGATACTTCTGGCCTGAAATCTAATCCAACATTTGTGAAATCCTTATAGCACTTCTGAATGGCCCAGGACTCCAGAAAACACAGGTTGAAAATGACAAGCTCTCCTTTTGGTGGGTGAGGACACTAAGGTCAGAAGGTCAGAGGAAGATTCAGGCTAGAAGCCAGGCCTCCCAATTCCCCCTCCAAGGGCTCAGGCTCTCCTCAGCCCCTTGATACGTTGCATTCTAGGGCCCTGGGCTGGAGTTATTCCTGTCCCTTTCACCCTGGCTAGGACAGCTTGTGTGCCGGGGGCCGCCATCCTGCTCAGGCATTTCCCACCAGCCTCTGCCTTAAGCTTAGGCCAGGCAGGAGCCAGGTTCCTCCCACTGACTTCAAGATGGGCTCTCTTCCTAGTGTCTATTATCTGAGCAAGGAAGGCCCATGGCCCAAGACCCTCTTGGAACCAGAAGGCCCCAAGTGGCAGACATTCCGAGTGAGTGCCAGATTAGTAGAACCTACTAGATGGGTGAGGAGCAGGGGAGATGAGTACAGTCATTGATGATCTGCCCAGGGGGAACACCCAGGAATGCCCCAGAACATGGGCCCCACAGCAGTTGGGGGCATTTGTGGGCCTTCCTATAAACTTCTGAGAGGGTAACTTTATCCTGCTTCTTTCGGCCAAGTATCCTCCTCCAGCAGCTGGTCACAAAGCTGGTTAATCTCCCAGAGTGCTCAGCTTAAAACCCGTGACTCACAGCACAGCCAGTGTAGGGGAGGGGGTGACTGCCTCCAATACGTGGCGCCCAGAGTCAGCTGTTCTGGGGCCTTCTCTGGTTTCTCCAACTCAGTCCTGAGGTTTGGGGCCTTGTCTTCCTTCCTGGAGTCCTGCTTCTCACTGACCCCTACATACAAGCCACGAGAGGTCAGGGCCCTGGGAAGAGGGCCAGTTCCAGGCGTTGGCTTTGGCCAAGCCTTCAGGCTATCCCAGAAATGACCAGCAGGCATTGGCCTTCTGGGGAAGGGGGAGGTTTCACATGTAACTCTGGGAGGGATTGGCCCTGAAATTGGGGTCCCTGCCTCATCTGCCCAGACCTGGAAAAAATCCCCTTTGGCCATGACCCTCTCATGGTGGATCTTCATTCCCCATCAGCATGTGGCATGAAGCCTGTGTAGGGTGGCTGAAATGAGCTAGCAAAAAGGAACACAAATGACAAGGGACCTCTGACTTGAGATCAGTGGAATAAACACAAGCTGTGTCATGGAGAAAAGGTGGAGTAGAGTGTTGGCTTTGGAGACACATGAGTTCCAATCTCAACGGTCCCAAAGCTGCCAGCTACTAGCTGAATAGCTTCCCTGAGCCTCCGTTTCCTCATCTGTAAAAGTGGGATAGCAATAGTACTTACCTTGGTGAGCTAATGTGAGAATCAGATGAGATTCTGTTTTCCTGCTTAGTAGGTGGGAGCTATCAATATGATTATTCTTATCGTCATGATCATATTGCTCAAAAAGCAGGAGAATCCATTTTCACTTGTTAGGGGACTTATGTTTGTATAATGGGAGGGAAGCTAATGGTCTCAAAGCATTTCAGTGACTCTTCTCATTTGGCAGGAAATCTATTCTAATGAATGTGACTCTGTAAATGATAAGGGAGTATCTGCCAGCCAGCGGCATCTTGCTTGTTATGGCTGAAGACCTAACCCAAGAAACAGCTGTAACAGATACATGACAAAGGCTCCCACTGGTACCTCTACTGAGCAAAGCACAAATCATGAGGTAACCCTTGCTCCTGTGGTGCCAGTGATTCTTAAAACCTTCTACTCCAACTGAAGAGTCCCATACATATCCAAAGACTCCTGTAGGTAAGGAGGAATGAACCACTTTATAAGTTCCTGTTATGGGCCAGGTACTATATTAAACACACATATTTGACCATGTCTAACTCTTGCAGCACCCATCGGGGTGGGTGTACTATTTCCTCCATGTGGTGGACTAATTAACAAACCCAGTTCTTCACTCCTCCTTGTATCCACACCCTTTGCCTGGTGACCCTTTACAGCTCTTCATATCAGGAGGCATACTGTATATTTCTCCACGTCTCAGTTCTGAGCTCAGCCATGCAACTTGTTTTGACCCAGGAGGAATTAACATATGTGAATCAGGCAGAGGTTTAGGAAATATGATTATGTTTCTGTTTGCACTTTTGTACCACTACCATTACCATGAAAACATGCCTAGGCTAGCCTGCTGGAAGTGAGGCTTGTGGAGAACAGCTGAGTCGCCCAGTTGCCCAGCCAAGACCAGCTGGATCAGCCAAGGCCAGTCAAGTGCAGCATGTGAGTGAGCCCAGCAGAGCCCAGGAAAACAGCCCAATCCAATAGCCAACCTGCAGACTCAGAAACTGAAGTCACTATATTTTGGAGAGTGGTTCATTACACAGAATTATCATGGTAATAGATAAGAGATACATGCCATTAAAAAAAAAATAGACTCCTTTCCTGGATTCCATCTTTTCTTTCTCTTACTCAGTGTGAGAGTTAGCTGTTTC